AAAAATGCTCAAAGTTTTTCTGTTTTTAAAAGGTGACTAATATTTCACAAGGACTGGTTAGTAATTTTCACTATTGGGCCATAAGGTAGCAGTATAGAACTACAAAATATTTCATTATGTGTCATATACAAATAAATTGTCTGTCTTAGTTTATTGAAGGGTCACTATTTATACTGCCTAAAATATGAAGCAACATGTAGATTGCTAGAAATTTTAATTGTATTTAATGGTATTTGGATTTTTTTTCCTTTCAGGCTTATGAAGCGGCATTTATTCACAGAATAAAACATAAGCATATCCGGGCAAAAAACTACTTTGCTCAGATTCCAGCGATGACATCATTTTTGCATAGGAGTGACAATCAGGCTAGTGCAAATGAATTTTTAATAGCTACACCTATTCCTACTGGTACAAAAACATAACTCTTAGGCAAAGTTAACTGAAGTTAACTGAATTATTGATTAATACAATTTCCTTGCTTTTAAAGAAATGTTACCTTTTCATCAATACCTTAATTGTATTACACGGATCAAAATAAACTTCTGAGGATAAAATAATTTGATCTTGACTAGTCAATATAACTGCATTTCATGTTTTGTAACCTCATTATTTAAAAAGTAAAATGTTGATGAGCTTTGTAAATTCTAAATTTATAGAGCAATGACTGTCTTTCTGTGTCTGCCTGTGTTGCTTGGAACATTCTGTCTGTAGTGTAATATTCTTGTTGGGGGAATTTAGCTAATTCTTTGTCACCTCTTAATTAGAAAAATAATACTATAAACACAGTATTAAATTTATTTCTCTCTTCTTAAGCATATAAGGCAGAAAACCTCTCAAACCCTAAATTCCTACAGAACAACAGAATTGATATGCCCTTCCAAATATAGCTGCTTTGCCTTGCAAACATTTGTGCAAAAGAATAACCTTACTTTTTATAGCTCATCTTGATGGTCATAGTGGAACTGCCAGCATGTAATCATTGTATCCAAGATCTTGAAAGTATTGTATATCAGACTTATAATTTGAAATACACAATGCAGACTGTTTGGAACATTTTTATTTTTTGAGGAGCTTGTGATATTTAAAGTAGAAGTCAATTCTCTCCGTAAACTTAATTAGTTATGTTTATGTTTGATTATAATTACAGAGAAAAATATGATATGGTGTACATTCACTGAAGTCCTACAGAAAGTTGCAAAGTTCTGCTTGAAACCTCTATTCTAGATGTGTTTTTGACTCAGGACAAAGCCTTTTGCTCTGACAAATACAAGGATCAAATTTGCATGCAAAATGGATGGCACTTATTTTTGTCACCTATCTGTAGATAGTTCTTCTGGTTTATCTTGCACTGTACATTGTCCTTGTTACAACAGTCATCCATTTTAGCCTGACTTACAGTCCTAAATGTACCTTCATCACACACAAATCTGGGATTCACGCTTCTTTTTATTCAAAGTATTTTACGTCAGGAATGTAGAATTCTGAGGTTGAGAGGATTTTTTTCTTTTTTCTTTTTAAGAAAAGGATTCATAATCAAAAGAAATTAAGCCTCCACCATCATGGTCTTTTCTCTCCAATTATTTTTCATAAGTCCTATGTTTCAGCTTTGACAGGATAAGAAATACATAGGATATGTGATAGGCATACAATTGTGAAAGAAATCATGTATAAATCCAGAGAAATGGGTAGGAGTAGAATGTAAATACATGGTATATCAATATTATAGCTTTTCTTAATAAAATTATTTTAGATAAGTGGAGATACATGGTAATGGATGTATTTTTTTCTTCATTGCAGTTTCATAATGATTTCACAGTAATCTGAATTTCAGTGTTTTGAATTTGTGTTGGATTTAAAAAAATCCTCATGTGCAAGCAGTTCTAAACCTGGACTCAAGATCACTTATGGGTTTTCAAGGAAAAAGCCCTATGGAAAATGCAACAGTAAACTGCATGTGCTTTTGTGTATACCAACAGACATAAGTCAAAAGTGGTTTTAGGTTCCTGCTCACAGATAAAAGAAACACTGTGATTTCTTCTCATTTTAATTAAATGAAAGAAAAGAATCTTTCTGAAAAATCTCTTTGCAAAAGGAATATTTTTTTCTTATCGTTCAGAAAAAAAATCTTTATTTTTAGGAGTGAAGAAAAAAAAAGAAAAAGGAGAAAATATATGCAGATGCATTTGCGAGCCAAATTTACTGAGGGAGGCGAATTAAAATCCCACTCAATAAATTCTTCTCATTCCTTTTTTTCAAAGCTTTCTTCACTTCAGTTGTTCCCAAACTGTCATTTTTTGAGAAATATTAAAAAGGAAAATTCAGTTTGTTTTCAATTAAAAGTTTGTTCCTAAGTAATATGGTAATCTGAGACAAAACAATCTGGGTTTGTTTCAAAAAGTTTTAAGACTGTTTCTATAAGGAGGAGTACGGAGAGTATACCCACCAACTGTGCTCCATCTCACTTGTGTGTGATTTGGTTAGCATGTGCAAATACCTTCTGAAAGATCCAGCTCAAACCAAGGGATAATCTAGTTTTTGAGGTATTAGCAGCTGGAAAGAGACAGGGACAATATACCTTTCTTTCATAATCCTCTCCCTTGTATTAGCTTCTCTTTTGTTTTCATTAACCTACTTTAAGTTAGCCATTTCGGCTGCAAGAAGCCAGGAATCTCTTACATGACTTAGGCTTTTCATCCAGGATGTCAGCATTTGAGTATGAACTGGTAAAAGAAGTTGGACATGCCAGCAGTGGAATTTCTGAACCGGTGTAAATGCTTTAGCCCTATGAAAATGCTCTGTAATAATAGAGTTGAGCACTAGTTATCCATTTAAAAAGTACAGAATTGTCAAATATTTAGTAATGAATCATTTACTCTTGTGGTGAGCTTTCTGTCAGGTTACAAAACGTATTTGTACAACACTATATATTTGTTGGTCTTGATTTCCATACAGTCAGATCAGATTGTTGGGGATTTATTCTGATGTGGAAGTCCTGGCAGTGTTGGTTACATTGATCAACTGTATTAGTAATGGAGGAAACCCACTAGAACCTACTTTTCATTGGTTCATGTTAGAAGCATAGTAAAATATGCTGCTTTCTTGCTGTGTTTCACAAAGCAAGGATCTCTGCAGTGTGCAAGCTAAAGAATGAAAGGAATCACAATCTGAGAAGGCATGGGCTTAGTGGAATAAAAGTGTTGTAGTAATGCAGTATTTCTCTAGACTGCTAGCTGCAATGCAAATCTAGCAGGTTCTGCAAAATTGAAAGTTTTGCTGGAAATTTTGTGATTCCTTTAGTATTCTGTGGGCACACACATTGTGCACTCTTGATTTATATAATGCTGACCTTCAATTCATCTTCATTTCTTACATGAAGGTTAATTGTAAGAAGCAGACAGGAAGACTTACAGTCGATTGGCTTTGTGGGCTGGAGATGCTCACAAAAACTGGCAAGACTATTCTGGACAGTTATGTGAGAAACCAGATCTCTTGCGTTCTGGAAGATACTAAGGAAGAGTCACCACTCTGAGGATTACAAAACATTTTGCTTGTGTTGACCGAGCTATTCCAATTCATACTAAATTGTCCCTAGGGCGTTCCAGTTCTACCCCTGTCTTTGTGCTCTGGATTGCTGTCTTACCTGTACGCACCCTTAAACAGATGAACAAACACCAGCTTGTGAAAGGGAGATGAAGGATTTCTAATATATCTCTGAGGAGAAGACAAAAAAGTGCAATTAAAGAGTTAAATTCAGTGTTATGTAAAGGTAACATGGCGAAGAAAAGGAATATGTAGATGATGATTGGCTTTATTGCTTCCCTCAAAATTATTTTTGTCTCAGAAATCTGATTTCAGATTGAAGTGATGAACAAATTGCCTTATATTAGACAACAGCACTGTAACAGTATGCTGTGAGTTAAGGCAAATGGATTTAATTAATCAAGCTCCGTGTGCTCAGATTCAGAAGCGCATGTCTTCTCACATCTGTTTATATCTTCTCTTACAATTTTCATTTTGCTTCCTTATTTTTCCCTTATCACAACTTGTTTTAATATAGCTAACAATTTCTTTTGTCTATTATTCCTTACATCTTGCTCTGATTGTGAAGAAGCATCGGTGCACTGTGCTGAACATGTGCCGAGTGACTGCTGCTGCCTAATGTAGTCACAAGGCGTAGAAACAGCTCGGTGCTTGGCAGGAGCAAAAAAGTATGCTGGAGGAATTTGCTTCCCAGCATGAAGAAATTCTCTATGACTGTTTTGATCTTGCTTGAGACTTGTGAAATACTGAAGTCATGTCAGGTTCTGAAGTGATTATAATTTGCTCCTGAGTTTTGAAATTCTTGATTTTTGGGACAGCATAGCTCCATGCAAAAGCTAGCTGAACAATTCCATGTTTTAGTGGATACACTCCAAGCGTACCATTTTCTCACTCTCTTCCTTCTTGCTGGAATCTGCAATGGATTGATTTACTGCAGATTTCAAACCTGTCAACACCCAAATGTGTGACACCAGCTCTCAATACATGTGAAAGAGCTAAGCTGAGGGACATGATAATATGTAGCAGGGGAAGAAGAGAGAAGTTCTGCAGAATACATTTTGTGCAGTACAGAAAACTTTTCTGTAAACTCCATTTTGAAGTTGAGCAACTCTGGTATCAGCCTGCAGTTATCAGGGAGTTAGAAAACAGTAGGACAGGAGTTTGGACTTCATGACTCTCCCTTGTACTAGAATGTTAGAGGAATCTACCTGTGCTTATACTGCAGAGAGTTTTATGAGCTGCTTAAATCACAAACCTGAAAGTTATTAAAAACATGTATAACTCCCAACTTCAAGCTAAGGAAGTCGATGTTTTGAAAATTCCCCTTGTGGTCAGAGAGCAGCCTCACCCAGCAGCCTGGCCGAATCCGGATAGCTGCAGCTGGACCGGGAAGTGCAGCTGTGCATGAGCTCGGACTTCCCTGTGCAGCTGGCCAGTGATGTCCGCACTTGCCTGGAGTCATGACGCAGCTCTGCTCCGCTGCTGCAGCCCCGCTAGTGTGCACCCTTGCCGTGCTGTTCAAAGTGTCGCTGTCAGTGGACCATGTACCGATGCTGCTCTGGTCAACTCGGAGGTAAGAAATCTCATAAAAGAGCATCTCTATTTAGGCTATTGCTCTGTGTGTGTGCGTGCAGAATATATTGTATATCGTCAGTTGTGGTAAATAACCTCTGGGCAATAAAATTACGCAATAAATAAATTTGCCTTTCGGCAATCAAACAACCTAACAGATGAATTTACCATTTTTTATTTATAATTTTAGGGTTCTAAGCTGCACAGTAAGAAGTAAAATCCATATTCTTCAAATCTGAAAGAGATATGCTTTATTCATCCTAAGGGAACCTTGAACTCCACTGTTAGAGGTGTCGTGACTTAAAGGCACAACAGAAGGCAGTCTCACAAAAAGGAGCTGACCAAAAACTGTGTAAAGATCCTTAATCCTTACATTTCCTAATTCCTGAATCCTGATTTTTCACCTTCATGTTCTTTTTAATGCAGTTTTTTTTGTAAAATACACTGCTGTATGTATAGACATCAGTCGTTAGAAACAACTGCAGAGTCTTGACACGTCCAAAGAGACACGTGAAATTCAGGGGTTTGCATATACTTATGAAATAAGACTGTGCATCTGCCTTGAAAGAGCCAGATATAGACCTCTTTTTTCCAACCAGGAATTTTATTCATGCAGACTTTAAGGATTTTATATAATTACTTGGGATTTCCAGAAATACGGTAGCTTGGGCAATGAAGTGGCTTCAGGTGGGGTACTGGAGATGTAAAGTTGTCAGAGGACTATGCACCACTTATTCACAAGGCTGTCTCTGCAGGGCATACACCTTGGTTTTGTCTAGGAAGTAGTGTCCCAAAACCTAGTAAGATGATGTCAGAAATTTGTAAGAAAAGGCTCCTGAGGGGCTTATGGGATCACAGGACTGACTGGAAGTGCTAAAGGCAAAGTCCTGTTCTGGGTGGGAAGGCAACAAGAGATCTGCTGTACTCTAGGTTTCCCTAAGGTGTGCTTTGGGCTGAGTAAATCACTTGAATCTCTCCTCCTAATTCCTAAAACCTCCACACTCTTAACATGGTTTACCTAAATTGTAAACCGTCTCGTGGAGAGTTCATCTCATACCCTCTGCAAGCACATATGTATTATATACCTAGTTCAACAGGCCTGATCTCAGCTAGGTATTTATTCATTTCACTAATGCAAGTAATCCATAACACGTTGGAATTTGTCAGTCCAGCTGGGTGGCTTCATAAGCATAAAATGCTTTCCTGTGTCACAAAGAGCCTTGGTGTGCAGGTTAAGCCTCACTTTTGCTGTAGGGATGAACAGAAGGAGCTGCAGTGACGGGGATTCCTGTTGGGTCCCTTTGCTGGCATGACCAAGCTATGTGTGCCTGGGCAGAGGGAGTTCTGCTTCTGAACTCCTTTGGTCATCAACTCTTGCCAGGTCTAAATTCATGGGATTTGATTCTTTTGCATCCTTATTGCTTTGTTAATTCCCAGATTGTTACTTGTGATTTACTCTTCTGGAAACTGAGAAAGGAACCAAACCAATGGTTTCTTGGGAGGTAGTTATCCTTTCAGCTAGTTGCGCTGAATTTACTCTACCTTTCATGAGGCTTTGAGCCATTCTTCAACACATTTGAGACTCTGTGAATTATCTAGATGTCACTAGGAAGAGAATTAGACTAAATTCTGCTCTCATTTATCCCACTGTAAATCTTTTGTCTTCAGGCAAGATTATTAAGATTTAAATCTGAGAGCTAAATCTTGTTAATCTTTTTTTTTTTTCTTTTTTTCTGTTGCATCTTAATGTGGTAGTTTTAAGACAGCAATAGGAGGATTCAGAAATTTTATGAACATCATGAGTTAGATTAAGTTCTTCAGGAGGTCATTCTCCATGTATAGTGCCATATAGACAAGCATGCTACTTTTCTGTTGTTTTGTATGTTATGCTGTAATGTTGAGGGCCATGGAAAACAGCTGTGCAGGAGGTGTTGATTGTGTCTCTTTCATACGTATCCTGGACATTGTATTCTTTTCCCAGCAGTAATTAATACCAGCTTTGACATATGTCTACCCATCTCTTAAGCATTTCCAGAAACTGAACCTCTGGTCCTTGGGGAGCTACAGCATATAGAAATCTGAAAATTTTGATAAAGTTTGATTTGATAACTTTGACTTTTTTTTTCCCCTGAAAGAAATAAATGGATGTTTCAACATCAAGACTTTTTGTATATTCAAAATACTTAGTTGATTCATCTCTATATAAGACAGGCATATGTATGAGTAGTAAACCTCTGCATTTAAAAGCAAAGTAAATGTTGGAAAGAGTTGTTCTTAGGATAAAAGTGATCCTAAAAGTCTAAGAAAAGATCACTGCTTCCTTTGTCCTACTTCCTAGTTTATATAAACAACAAACCTGTTGTCAATATAAGCAAAATCTTATCAGTTAATCCTGAGTGTCATAAAAGCAAACTTTCCACCAAGATGCAATTAGCAACTTGCTCTACTGCAGATCGTTCAGGTTTATACAAATCTAGTGCAAGAAAATCAGGATAGTGGACTGATTAAACCAGTTTTATGTTTCCACGAACAGAACATTTTCTGGAAGAAGTGTCCTTCTACCATGACCTTTGCATTTTTGAAAGGTGAAGTTCTTGTGGGGCAGAAATTAGTTCTCATGAAAGTCAATGAAGCAACTGGAACAAAGATTTATGTTATCTTATAAATAAAGAAACAGTAACAGCAACTTTTGGTTGCTAACCCTTAACTCTGTGCTTTACATCTTGGTACTTTGCAGTGATACAAGGTTTGCAGTGTGTGATCTACAGGCCTATGAAATCTGGAAACTACTATTAAGAGTTTTAGGAAGGGTAATTGAAGAAGCGCAGCAATTATCAACGGATTTCTATTCACTTTGTGGAAACATGTCCCACCAGTTTAAAAGTTCAGTGATTCATTAATGAACAGAAGCTGAGATTTACCAATCTATTCTATCACCCTCTCCCAGGTTATCTGTTAGGATATGATATCGGATAGTTGAAGGATAATACATTTTGCTCTTCTTTAAAACTAACAAGTGTTTGAAAAGCCATGTCTCAGAACAGCTATATTAGAAGAATGTAACACTTTAAAGTTTCTCTTTTATGCATTATTATTATACTGTGATCATGCTATTAAATATAAGGTTAGATGTCAGATGAAACCTGCAACTGACAAATACATGCAGTGTGCAAAGCATAAGGGAAGTATGATATAAATCCTTACAGGGTCATTAGTAAATCAAATACTTCTTTCCTCTAGAAAGAAAAATGCAGATCTCTACTTGGAGAAAAATAAGTGTTTTCTACCAAACAACAACCTTTCTCCATTGAACTCAGGAGAAGGATGAAGTGGGAATAACTCAGTAGGTCACAGTGTCCTGCTTTTCAAAAAGGAATACTAATATATCAGTGGATATTCTCCAAATAACTTTGGCCTGGAAAAGTTGACCTTTATCTTAAATTAGCCTTTAAACTAATATGCCCTGCTTGCTTTTCGAAGTGGAAGAGATGGAGAGGTTGCTCTTGCATACAATACACAGTCAAAAATTGATTTGGCCATTTTGAACCAATATTGAAAAGAATTTATTTCCCTCCACAGATTAGAGAGGGAGCTTGAGGAAATAAATTCATTAAAATTAGCTTTTGCAATTGCCCCCTCATGTGTTTGTTTTAGGAATGATTCTTGCCTACAGTCATTGAAAATATATTGCTACCTTCATTTATGCTATGCTAATATTGGGAAATTAATCCTTTTCTGAAAATCCAGATTATAAGTGACTTGGGGAAGGTGTTAATGTCAAATAGTACATTTGCAGTGTTTCCTAAAACTGCAAGGAATTTACTGAAAAATCTCCTGGAAGAAGGTGGAACGTAAAAAGTATACAGTGGAACAGAAAACTGTTTTAGCTGTAACTTTATTGGGCTTCTGTGGAGATACTGTGTGCCAGCATGCATGCCAGTTTACTTCTGCTGTGCAGGAGAAAATATTATTTCTTATATGGTAATCACAAGGTGATGGAAAGAGAGAACTGACAAGAATAATATGTAGGAAGGAGTTCAGAAGCCAGCTACAAAGCAAAAATGTAAGCTCACAAGTTAGAGTGATAGAAGTCCTGTTATCTTACCATCTGCCCTTCTGGTGGATCCAGGTACAAGAAATCTTGAAATCGCTGCTTTCATCAAAATTAAGTGCTCAAACCCCAGTTCTACCTAGAAAGAGCACTGGTTAGAGAAGAATCTGTATGCTTAAACTTGTTGTCATGCCAGAGCAGTTAGGGACAAGAAAGAAGCAAAATACCAAGCTAAGTTTTCTTTGCTCTCTTTCTTTAGTGCATTGTCTGGCTATTGGAGGAAAGAGAGAGCAGCTGAGTTTTAAGTTTCCTCCTTTTAGCCAGCAGGAAAGCACATACCTTAGTAGAGATGCTGGTTGTTTTGAGCCCCCACACCTGAGGACCCCAGGATGGTTCTACGGTGGGGAGGTTAAAAGTCTGATGTGCTTGGCATGCAGATGACTGCACAAGCTGTGCATCTTTGGACATTAAATTTTGTGTGAGCAATCAATAGTAGGAATCCATATGTGTGTTAGCCTACTGCCTCTTTCATCCTACACCATTCCTTACTGATCTCTTGCTGACCTCTTGGGGTGAAGAGTTCAAAGGGATGGTCCGGTTCATCGCCTTCAGTAAGGCACACCATCAGCGTATCCACGATGCACTGTCTGTGGCAGTCACGTATCTCAGTCTCCGGTTCACAGTAAACCAGCACGTAAAACACACAGACGTTTCCTGTCCGAACCACGGTGACAATACTGTTGCACCCTGCTGACAGTAGCAGCCCATGCAGTGAGGGGTGTAGCCTTGCCTACTGCCATGCACAGTGCTCAGCAAACTATTCAAAAGCAGAAAAATAAATGTATGTGTAATATGGTGAATATAAGTATTAGGCAAATGCTGCATTATGATAGAATTATTAACTAACTGATGTAGATTTATTTTTCTAATGACGATGCTGGAGTTACTGAAGTTGACTGCTTGGAAGATAAAAGGTCTCACAAAAGGCACTTTTCAAGGTTAGCTAGCTAGCAAGAGCTGCTTCAAGGAACAGGGAATATCTTAGAAGCAAGTAGGCTTTAAAACAGAATCATTAAATTTCTGCGGTTTTGAGTTCACAACAAAAGCCTTTGCCATTGTGCTGCTGCTTTTGTTTCATGTGCTTTCTGTTACCTTTTATTCTTAATTGCAAGTCCCAAAAGCTCTCAAAATCTTCATTTTTTTCTAATATTAGGCATGAAATAGATTTATTTAGTTAGTTTTTAAAATAAATATACCAGGATATTCACCATCTTTTCCTTCACACAAGCCATTTTTTAACATCTCGTATAGAATCACAGAATCATAGAATGGTTTGGGTTGGAAGGGACCTCAAAGCTCTAGTTCCAACCCCACTGCCTTTAATATCATTAGTATTTTGGTGTGGCCATGCAATGCATAAAGTCAGTATGAAAGCCAGTTCCTGAATATTCAGTCAGAATCCTTGGGAGTTTTTGTATTTTCAAATACCTTATTTTTAAAGATTATAATTAAATATTTGAGATCATAAGGTTTGACTTTTCTGCAAAGTTGAAGCATGTCTGTTACAATTCCTAAGTTGTTTGGCTTCATAAATATAAGTTAATGTGGATTTCCAAGCACAAATTAACAAAGAAATGAAGATGCTGAGTAAAACTAAGAAAATATCAAATGATAATTTCAACCAAATAGAAAAAAATTTCCTTCCTACACAGCAAGGTTTACTTCTAAACTTGAAAAGTGACAGTCAGAAGATATACTAGAACGTAATTTTAACATTCACAGCACGTTGTCCTGAAAGAGTCTTCCACATGTACGGTTTGCTCTAACACTCTCCCAAACGCCAAAATCTGAAGTGAGCTAGGTATCTAGTACTGCAGGACTGCACTGTTTTTATCTCCATCGTGGGTGCAATTAGAGGCTTTCAACTCACTCTCGGCAGTCTTGATGGGAATTACTGGGAAGTCTTGAAGTGAAATACAGATTTTCTTTATCCAAGAAACAACACTGAAACTACCCTCTGTGTTCATTACCCGTGTTCTGCCTCCATCTTAAGAGGCTGCAAAGATTGTTCTCCTTCATAAAAGCTTGCTGTGCAAGGGTCATTTCTGAATTGCTTTTGGGTTAGAAAATTTAATCAGCATCTCAACTTCACCAGATTGCAATCATATAATAGCTGATGCTACAGCACATAGCAATTCTCTATATTCTATTCTCTGTAATTAGAACCAATTAGGGGGTCTGGAATATCTGATTTCTCAGGCTTTAGCAACTGATGTGTATTTGGGGAAGATGGGAGATGACATTTCAAGCTCTGGGTTTTCTACAGAATGACAATTTTACCTTAGTCAAAACACTAGGACCAAAATTTTCATAATAAATTTCATCCCTATAGACCCATGTTGCATACTGTTAAAATCCCAATCAGGTGTTGAAAGAATAATGCCACCTCTTGTTTTGTCCATAACTGGTTTTTTGTAGCAGCAAAACTAAATAGATGAATTATTTCTCTGTCCAGTCCTCATAATGACAGGTTGGCAAAAGAATCATAAGCTTTTCTTGGTGTCTTGAGCCATTCTGTTCCGAAGAACAACTTCTTCTGGAAAGGTGGCTTTTCTGAGCTGCTTCTGCAGAATGGTTCCTTCATCGTGAAAACCTTAGGAGAGAACATATTGTTTACAATAACACCAAAAAGCCGCTTTCACTTAACAGAAGAGGGTTCTACTCCTCTCTGGCCACCAAGATGTCTGACGGCACTGGATAGTGTTTGGGGAGTTGGGATTCCCTCTGGGAATTGTCTCTGAAGGTTTTCAATGTATTCTTCATTCCACTTAGTAGCTAATTTTTTTGAAAGATGCAACTGTGCTGTCGTACACAAATAAGAAAGTAGAGAGAGACAGTTATCTTGATTGGACAAATTTCATCCCTGCTGTAACAGAGTTAATGTGATATGGGCATAAATGGGCAAGTTCTTTTCCTCTTGAGTAGAGTGAAAGTAAACTGAACTGTAAACCTGATTTTAATCCAAAGATGATGATATCATTACCTGCTGCTGCATATTTAAAGAAAGAAGAGGTGTCATCATTGGCAGCAAATTTTACAGGAAAAAAATTTTTCTTTGCAGATCACAGTGGAATCCAGACACTGCTTTGCATGAAGGACACGTTGTCTCAGCACAGGAGCTGACCGTACTCTTGCAACCTGTTTTTACCCAGAATTCCAGAAACCTTATCTTGTTCCTGCATGATACAGTATGTAACATTAATTCTTTTTCTCTCGCCAATGCCAAGTACCTAAATGAGATGCCATGGCTCCTTCTTACCAATGTACTCTCTTTGTTTTTCAGCTTAGCATAGGTGATTTCACATACCTCAGTGAATTCTACGGTAACAAGAATCCATTTCAAAATGTGCAGGCAAGTATTTCTCTCTTTTACTTCTTTATATGCAGTATTTAAAATTAAAAAGAGATGTAAGAAAGATGCAAACAGACAATAATTGGAAAAATTAAACTGAATTATAGCAGTTTTCCTATTTAAGTTATTTATTGAGATTATTCCAGTTTAAGCAGATGAGTTAAAGGCAATCAACTAAGTTTGCAGAAGTGTGTTTTGTAGCTATTTTATTTCTGAAGATCAAGTTTTCAGAATTCATCGTAACTGACAAAATTGTTCCTAAACATGCTGCAATTTTGTATTTGAAAAAAACAATATCAACTTCAAGACTGACACCCCCAAATTTTGGTTTGAAGACATAGGAAGAAAAGAAATTATAGGAATCAATTATTTATTCCTGATTTTCAGAATTGAACATCCATTTTATTTTCATAGAAATTGAAGCTCATGCAGGGAGTTAACTGTTTCATATTTGAATGTTGTTAATATATGACTAGATACTGGATTGCTTTAATCTTCATGAAAAAAAGTCATGCTACTTGAGTAATTTGAAATAAACTCTGGGCACAGCATCTAACACAGAGTCCTGAGCCGGTCAGCAGCTTCTTCTGTCCTCACTGAGGCGGTTTATGGATTTTGTGCACAGCATCTATGGTTGTACTTACATGACAGTTTATTGAAATGTAATTAGGCAAAGGAAGTGTTCACACATGGAAGTCATAAAGGCATTCCTGCAGGCAGTGCAGTATGAACAGAGCTATTAGTAATGTAACTGGTATCAGAGCACATGAGGAACTGCAAATTCCCAAGCACCACACAGCAAGCTGTATGTGTAATTAAATACATAAATATTCACATATTACCTGTCTCTGCATCTATACTGTCTAAGAACCTCACGTCTTCCTTGTATCACTGATACTGGAGATCTTCATCTCTTTGCCGTATAATGGCATTGTAACGCTGGTGCTGGCACAAAAACAACTATTCAGAGGATGTACATGGGTTTTCTGATGAATGAATGGCAGTAATATTCATTTGTAGTGTAAGGATCAGCGGTCGTGTCCACAGGCAGATCTACTGGTACTTCTCTGGTATGCCTTATTTTCTCCAGGTTTAAAATCTATGCAAGGCTGTGTCTGGAGCAAATTTTGTTGCTGCCTGAGTGCAAAACTGGTTTGATTTTGGAAGCTGTGTGAAATGTACACATGGCATTGCAAGCTCCTAATGATGTGGTGATTTTATTTAAGTAGGCCCTGGATGTTTAAGAGGAGGGAAATTAAAGTATTTAAAACCTTATTCTTTTGACTTGTAATAAGGACTCCATCAGCACTGTAGATACAGCTTATAGATGAGTCCAGAGACTGATGGATTCAGAAATTGGGTGGTACACTGAGTGGATTGGGGACCTACTGAGGGCTAGTGAGGAGGTCCTCAGCTAAAGGATGGTGTTCAAGTAAATCTTTGGTCTGTATCTGGCAGAGCAAAGATTTAAACCCAGGTTTTCAACAAGCTGAATAAATGTCAAGTAACAGTTTGTTTGCTTTCTGACCTTGCCCCTGTTCCCTTTCTGTCTTGGAGCTGAGAAACTTTTTCTCATTACAGCTTCTTTAAAACTGGAAAGTTTCTTTGACAAATTGCTTTCCTTAACTCCAGCACTTCCTAGTTTTTTTTCGGTTGGACTTGGCAATCTTAATACTTTTCTAGCATAGTTTTGTGGGGGTGAGGTGCTGTAAGTTGAGTGAAAGAAAACGAGATGTATAAATTAAATATTTCTTTTTCACCTAGGTGCTCATATGGAGAATTTTGTCAATATCTATTGCATAGAATTCTAGCTTTTAGGGCCAGAAAGGATCTATATAATCATTCAGTTCCATCTTGGATGTAACAGAGGCTGCAAAAATTTGTTCAGTTGCACTCCGCTTGAGCTACTTTGGGAAAGAAATCCTTTCTTAATCATGCTATGAAAGACTCTATCGTAATATTCACAGAACACAGGACAAAGTGAAGGTCAGGTCTGAATTTTCTCACTGGGGAAATTAGAATTTTTGATGTTGCATAATCACAAATTTTTATACCTTCACACTCTTTATTATACAAGTGATTCATTAAGCTATAATAGACGTTCCGTGTCACTTGAGTATGCTCCTTTTGAACTTCAGAAATGCAAATTTATTCACAAACCTAAACTGGAGATGTCATTTAGAAGGTATATGTGCATGTAGCAGCATGTGTACTACAATAAGGAAGTGTTATTTGTAAAAGAGTTATAGGCTTGTAAACCACAGAGACATTTGCAGATATTAGATTTGTTCAGCTACATTAGCAGCTGTTCTGAGCTTTTGGGATCAATGGGTTTGTATGCAATAAAAGAGTTCTATTTCCAGTTAATACAAAAGGAATCTTGCAGGTAGATCATTTATCTTAAACATTCAAAGAACTTTTTAATTAAATAATAAAATACAAAGATTAGCACTTGGGGAACATTTTGTCAAGCAGTCACCTACCCTACAAACTATTTTTCTTTAATATTAGCTTTGGCTTTCCCCAAACAACGCTCAGCTCCTTAGAACTGCACTGTATGGTAACACACTCCAATTAGTGGCCAGCTGTGCAGCTGCATAATTATTATTGTAAGTCATTGCCATTCGTGGTTCTATATCTCCATCGTATCCTCACTCAGTGGTCATAGACTGAGGAGTACTATTTAGCCATGTGTGATACAGAGATCCTACTATAGTTTTGATTGTCTTTGTTTCCTTTCTCTTTACCTCTTTTAGTTTTATTATATTATTTTTTGACAAGGGGGCATGCAGAACTGCATAATAATCAAGATGTAAGTTCATTGTAGATTTATTCAGTGACATGATAGTGCTTTGTTCTCTAGCCTTTTCCAAAAAACTACTAATATTTGATTTTTCAATTCTGATCACTATCAGCCACTGAATTGCCATTTTCAAAGAGCTGTTCTGCCTCTTAAGGTTTCGTTACTGAAGGGTAACACTCAGTTCTGAGTCTATTATCTCTTATTGTGCACATAAATTTAGTGGTGTTTTTTTTCTCACCCTGTGCTCTGTTGAAATCAATTTACATTGAATCTCATCAGTTACTTTGTTGCCCAAGAGGTTGTACCAGAAGTTGCTTCTGCAATTCGTCAGCCCTTGCCTTTAGTATCTTGAATAATTCAGTGTAATCAGCAGATTTCGTTAACTCATTTATGCCTTTTTACCAGATAATTTATGAACATATGGAACAGAACAGACCCTAGTGCAGTAACAGGTACTTTTTTCTACCCCTTGCTTGTGATCTCTTTACCTACTCTTTACCTATCCTTTACCTACTTCCATGTGAAGACTGCCTCTCTCAAGCTAAAGCAGCTTAATTTCTTTAGGAGTCTTCGCTTCAAGACTCTGCTGAGTGCCTTTTGTGGATCCAAGTACAATCTATCAGCTAGAACTCCCTGGTGTACATGCCTATTGACTCCTTCAGAGATTTTCAGCAGAACTGTGAGGCACAACTTCTTTTTGCAAAAGCCATTTCAGTTTTTTCCCAGTGTAATCTTTCCTTGTTGTTATAGTCTGTATGTTATTCTTTGGAATAGTTCTTCCCGTTCTTGCACTTCGGGTTTGCCTCTCTATAGTTCCTCAGATCTGTCTGTAACCCTTGAAAAAAAATCTGGTGTCATGTTTCCCACCATACAGTACGGTGGTATGGAGGTTTGTTCAACAATACTTTTTGTAGCTGCAACATATTTTAGCAGTTAAAGCGCATCAGATCAATTTTCATTAAAATCATAATATATAGCTTTATGCATACATTTGGAGAACACAGGTACAGTGTAAAAGTCTATAAGATTAACAGTAATCAGAAAGTTAAAATGCAACAATGATAATTTTGTTTGCAGTTAGCACTGTGTGTAGAAACAGGTGTGCTTCCAAATCTATTTGAATAGATTTTTCTCTTTTATGATAACCTATCGACCAATGCTGTAGAAAATAAATACAATAATTTTAAATATATTAAATGACATAGTCACAGGTAAAAGATGAAGATTTAAAAGATCTCTTTCACATGGAAAAGCCTGCCTACTTTGGGTGTAGGTTCCCATATATTTCCAGAGCCGACACAGGAGCCTTTTTCCCAACTAATATTTTTATTATAGGGCTGTCTATCACCTCTGATGCCAAACATAAACTAGTTCAGAACAACAAGTCCGCCTACATGATCTTTTATGGATGGATGCATGAGTCTTTAACAAAGATTTTAACAATAGTTTTTTAATGATAGACCTGATGTACTCCATTCCAGCTTCAAACTGCTTAGGTGTAATATCAATCCAGTTAATGTAACACTGAGACCAGAGCTGGGCAAGTAAGTCCAAGTACAGCTTTATCATAGTGCAGCTACTTAGCTTCAGGATGGCTAGAAATGTGGACAGAGTCATCCCACACCTACCTTGAAAAAAAACGGAACAGCGATATATGTAATCAAAGAGTGAAGCTTCTTGTAATACTTCACTCAGGAGAGGTGCTTCAGGGGACACTAAAGAAGGTAAATGTACTCATAATCAGAGTAAGCTGCCCATAGACAGGTTAAAGATTCTGTCATTTAATTCAGGAAGTTCTGCTATCTGTCCAACAGCACAATAGGAGGTTTTCTTCCTTTTCCTTTTCCCTTACCCTTTCCCTTTCCCGCTCCCCTCTCCCTCTCCCTTTCCCTTTCCTAGCTACCCTGTGATTGTACCTCTTTGTCTAGTCCTTTAGCAGAAAGCAGAATAAGGTGTTTGTCAGTAGTCCTCTTCATTCTCCACCCTTTTTTTGGAGATCTCATGTTTCGAACATGCATGGCAGTTGAAATCCTAAAATACGTAAAGCAACATATGGGTATTGTAAAGACAAGTGTGCAGTGGCCAAATGTCAAGGAGGACAAGCAAGAGGCATGGGATCAGAATGGCTAGCTGAGGCTAATGAGTAGATATCCAGCTGTGTCTGCCCTTCAGGTGGAAAACAGTTGAATACCAGCAGCTGGAAGCTGAGACAGATGGCAGTGCAGGATTGGTTAGGAGCAGAGGCACAATTCAGATATTAGTCAGTAATGATGCATTTTATATCTTATTCTACAATAAATGAGTAATCTGCTTAATATATATCCTTGGAAGAAGTGGCTGCTGCCATTCTGGCTGCTGCTAGGGGGCAAGGGATTAAAATACTGAAAATAAAAAAATTGAATACCGCTCAGAATTTTAGCTCTAAATTCATATATGCAGACAAACCAAAATGAAATGTATCATCCTTTCCTTCCAGGCGGTGCTAAAAATGCTACTCAAAGACCTGCAGACCAGATCTGTTCTTTCTGCTCTATTTTAATTTCTGCAGTGATTTTTCTATCAGTCTGGCAAATCAGACAATACTGCATACTCCTCCCTTATGAGCATCTATAGAAACGTGAAAATAACTAGCCTTTGCCTACGAAGGAAAACATGTGAGCAATTAGAAAGAACCAGAGCAGGTCAGAAAAGTGGTAGGCAGCCAGAGAACAGACAAAAAGGAAAAAGAGTAGGAGGAAAAAAGTGTTAGCAGCACTACAACACTTGCATCAGTTAGAGGGGGAGAGTCTATAACAACCTGAATATCTGAATACTGGATCAAGTGACAGACTCAATCTAGACTTAAATGTGGAAAAGGGGAAAGCAAAGTTAACAAGTTGTAAACTAGGACTCAATGAAAAAATTCTAATTTTCACATTAAATTTCAGGTACATTAATTTTGATCATTCTCAAGGCTCCATCTTGCATTTTCTTTCCCTGAATATTTCAAGTTAATTTTATTATCAAGAAAAATCTTTGGAAGGATGTTTTCTGACTACACAGGTTTCAGATTTATAGAATGAGAATGTTTTTTTAATTAATTTCACTCAAGTATTTTCATCAGAAACTCAGCTATGAGAATTATAAATAAAGTGATAGATACCCTGATGCTTGATTATTTGAACCAGTTCAGCCTGAGCTTTATAATTTGTATTTTGAGTAGAAAGACAGAAAATACATGACATGAAGTTTGTTTGTCTGTGTCTGGAGGTTCTGTAGATCCTGAAACATGTAGCTTGCTTTAATTAATAGTTACAAATTAGACACTTGGCTGTACTGTGTGCTGTACCACCAGGATGTACACAAAGGAAGGGTTTTTATTATGCAAAGTATGACTCTGCACTGAACAGAGCTGCTGGAACTTGAGGTGTCTGACATCGGTCCTTCGCACCTCTGAGGGCATTTAGTTAGCTCATCATCTGGTGAGCTTGGCTTCTGGCAGCGTTCATAACCTGTCTCTCCAATACATTCTTAGCTTGAGAACTTCTACGTATCTGTCTCTCCTCTTCCACCACATGTGTGGAAAGGACAGTAAGAATTTGGTGTCACTGAGTGCCTTAAGCTTGCCCCAAGAAGGTGCAGGAATAAGAGGAACCCAATTGTCCCTTCACTGCCCCTTTCCAGGAGCAGCCTGCAGCCAGCATCAGGCTAGTGAGAACTCAGGTAGTGTTTACCATGGTGGTTCCTCACCTTGAATATTAGATTAAGGATACATTAAAAAAAAAAGTTTGTGTTTAATTATTAAGCAAGTAAACAAACTGTTCATAAATTTATTACAGGAAATTCTTCAGTCTTCTCCTTCATCTTTAGTTTTGCCAGCTGTTGACTGCAAGGCTACCAAGTATCTTCTGAGCTTTCTTCTGGAGTCAGGATATTGGAAGTTAACAAACGTAACTAATCTTGATGTCTCTCAGCTGGAAGTGAATACATCTGAACCACACTTATTGGTGGTTCAGCTACAACCACTTGTCAGGTAGGAGCTTGTCACAAAACTGACCCACATGTGTGCTTGATTTTTAAAGCTTTTGAAAATGTCACGTGTATTCAGGAAACATAAAAACCAAAGTGGAAGCTTACAGGGTTAGCAAAGTTGTGTTTCTTGCAAGGGTGAATTGGGTGTTTTTTAAAGTCCCCTGATGAGCTAACCAGGTGTAATAGATGAATTATGTTGAGAAAGTCAGTCAGGCATTGCTATTTTGTCTGCCTCATTATATGAGAACAAAAGGACAACTAATAAAACTAAATGGCAACACACTTCTAGTAGAAAGGCTGAATTATTTTACGCAACACATGATTAACCTGCAGAATTAATTGCTAGGAGCCGTTCCAGGGGTCAAGAAACCTAGCAGGATAAATAAGCAAGCAAATAAACATACAGACAAACCTGAAGTTAATATGAATAAAGAGACTGGTTTCCATCACTCTAGAAGGAAGAGGAGGGCTATAATTCTTCATGTTTCTAGACCTATGACAACTGTGATCTAACAGAGGTAGAGAGAGACTGTTCCTTCAGGTGAATGTATATTTAGAAAATATAAAGCATGGGTGTATCGAGTCCCTCTGCTCAGCTTCTCCTGCTCTTTCTTCTTCCCAGCCTGTTACTTGGGCATTTGTACATGTCAGTATACGGTGCATGTATCAATGGGTCCTAAGGAAGTGCAATTATAGCTATCATGTCACTACACAAAAAAAGAGGTGGTATCCATTTTAAGGAGGTCACATACAAGTGTTACACAAGGGGCCAACACCATATGAAAAGAAAGCTGCACAGAGATTGGTCAAAATAACATCACTGGCTTCTCTGCAGCTAAGGAAGTTTGAGTGGTTTGAGGAATCAGCTGAAGATGTGGTCCTTGCACTATTAATGGCTTTGCAGAAGAAAAATGTCATAAGGAGGAGATGGGAGAATGATGGGGGCACTGATGCTGACAGTAATCCTTTTACCAGTCAGTATCTTTGTACATTTCCAGTTCACACTGTTCTTGCCTAGAAAGATTTTTAATTCTTTTTCTCCCACTCTTTTTGTAGTGGTTTAAATGAGATTTCCACCCTGGAAGCAGTTGCTGAAAATGGTAAGCAATATGACCAAGATATAACTAGCATTTCATCATTTAAGCCCATGTTTTCACTTGAGCAGATTGTATTCTCTAGTTCCTGGGGTTTGCTTTAATATTACCATTTAAAAGTTTTCTTTCCCCCCCATCCATAGTACTTTCAAGCAGTCAATTATCATAGTGTTGAAGTACTGAGTGTCTGATTCAAAATCCACTGAAATGGACACAGCTCTGTGACCTGAAATGTAATGGTAATTCACCTCTGCTTCAGGCATGGGCCTTTGCTCATGCTCTGAGATCCCCCAGTTCAGAGTATGAACCCTGCATCTCCGTGCAGCTTGGACTGCCTCCTTGCATCTTACCTCACACACCAGGAGCTGGAGGTGTCAGGTTCATCCAGCACTTTGAAGGTCTTGGTCTCAACAGAGGGTGTCTGAATGAATACGAAATGTTCTAGTCTTTGTAAAACAATACTGATATCCTTCACAGCCTTTAATTTTAGAGTCTTTTATTGGTTTTCTTGCCTAGCATCTGGCTGAAAAAGAGATGCCGTACACTGAAGAGGCCCCGAGAGGCATCTGGGTTTTTGCAGGGCTTTTACTTACTACTCTAAATTCGAGATCGAGTTATAAAGTCTGCAAATCACCGTAGTGGTAGTTTCAGGGACACACAGTGCAGTGTAGCGCAGTGTAGTAGGCTGACAATTAAACAGTGTCCTTAGTGCCTATGATTGTTTCTGCCCAGAGCTGGGGCTGTAAAATCAGAAACAGATTTGAAAATCAGGGGAAAGTACCTTAGTACTGAAATCAGTGGTGTGTCTTTTTCTCTTTGTTTTTGCACTACTCCAAAATGAGTGTGTTTTTTATACTCAAATAAGCAGCTGGATTTCCATCTCTGAATTGCAGAGGAGTTGTTTAGTTCTCTTTTCTTGTCCCCAGAGCATCTTAAATAGGAAAAGCCTTGACTTAATGCTGGCCTTGGCTAAACATTAGCTTTTTCTTTATAGACACTTCTTCCATCAGCTGGACAAACTCAAGAATAAGCTTCCCAAACTTCATCTCAGGCCACTTTGTTTTGGAACAGCAAAGTTAATGCTGGATCTGTGGGATGATGGAGGAACAGGCTATACCAGCTTTCCAATTAGTGTCAACTAGCTGTTATCAGAAAAAAGGTGTGTGGATCAGGGAAGATGTTCCACTTTGTATGGCCAAGTGCAAAATCTGCACTTAGTATTCTGCGTGTCAGCTGTACTCTAGAAAAGTGGGAGTGTGGGCTGAATCCTCACCTTCTGATTTATTTGCCAAAGCAGCCACTCAATTCATTGCTGAATAAAAACTGGAAATAACATCAGCAGGAAGTTTTAATTCAAATGAAAGTTAGTGAGCCACAGTTCCTTAAACTTATCCCCCTGAAGGTCTGTGCAGGAGATGGGAGAGCGTCGGAAGAGAGGCATTGCAGAAGTAGTAAAGTGTCCCAAACACAGCCTTCCAAGTCATGCAATCTTGGGTCCAGCAGGTCTAGATGTCTAGGTACTGTTTGCGGCACAACCACAGTCATTTGCCAAATATTACTGTCAAGACACCCTTCAAGGTCAGAACTGCTTGCGAGGTCATGAGTTATTGGTGTTTGTTATGGAGGGACTGCTGCTAGATCCTACCTAGGTAAGCAATGTAAAATACTATTTGTCACATACTTGCTATGTGACAAGAGGATTGTTAACCCATAAACATTGCTTGTAATTTTTTTTTGTGGTACCAGCAGTAAACCTATAGAAAAACAATGCAGACCTGTAGTAGGATGCCTAGAAGTTCACAAAGCCTCTTATGTTTGTCACAGCAACTTCTTTCCTTTCTGCTGTAAAGGGTTTTAAAATCCGATGTAATAAAATGTCAGAGAAATCTCTCCTGCTGTTTTACTCACTGCAGACAGGAAGCTCTGTAAGACAGAACAAATGGTCTCAGATACTGCCCAAGAGAAATGTGCTGTTCTGAAATATCTAGAAGCTGGAGTAAGCTGAGGTTTTTAGCACGTTATTAAAATGACGCTCATTACAAAATCCAAACTGGAATTCAGAATCCAAATCTGCTCAAGTTTCAAGGGATTCAGACTTACTGCTTTCTTTATGCTTCTTTTTAGTATTTCTTTTTTCTTTCTTTTGCATGCAGTAGAGTTTGACATTATTACTCATTTTTTTGCCTGTTTTCCTAAACGTTTCTCTGCTCAGGAGGAGGTTGCATTCTGTCATGTCAGTCTTACCTGCTGGATCCAGCATACCTCAAAATCAATGGCAAAGCTTCCTGTGACTTCATCGGCATAAGATGAGGCTCTTTAATTGCTATTGCATGTACTCCTTTTTCCACTCTGATTCTCAGTGCATTCCTCTTTCTGCTCTTTCTCTTCTTTTCCATTTCCCCCCCTCTCATCTTGCTCTTTTCTATTCTTTCACTCTTGTTCATAGCTCGTACTCTTCCTTTCTTTTCACTTTTCTCCTTCCAGAACATTTCTTCTCATTTAGTTTCTTCCATCCTTTCCATCCACGTGTAAAATCACACAAAGAAATTAAGGTGGATTAGAAATTAATAATAGCACTAATCCTGCACTCCCTGGTGAAATTCAAGGGATATGTCTTCAGTGAGTTGGAAAAAGGTTTAATCCTTCCACCAAGGCAGAGATGCAGGCAGTTATGCTAATTGAAGGTGTTACCCTAGTGTCGTGGTTTAACCCCAGGCAGCAGCTAAGCACCACGTAGCTGCTCACTCACTCCGCCCCCACCCAGTGGGATGGGGGAGAGACTCAGAAGGAAAAAGGTAAAACTCATGGGCTGAGATAAGAACAGTTTAACAGAACAGAAAGGAAGAAACTAATAATGGTAATAATACCAATAATAAAACAACAATACTAATAAAAGGATTGGAATATGCAAAACAAGTGATGCACAATGCAATTGCTCACCACTCACAGACTGATGCCCAGTTAGTTCCTGAGCAACAATCCGCCACCCAGCCAAGTCCCCCCAGTTTATACACTGGGCATGACATCACATGGCATGGAATACCCCTTTGGCCAGTTTGGGTCAGGTGCCCTGGCTGTGTCCCCTCCCAACTTCTTGCGCCCCTCCAGCTTTCTTGCTGGCTGGGCATGAGAAGCTGAAAAATCCTTGACTTACTTAGTATAAATACTGCTTAGCAACAACTGAAAACATTAGTGTGTTATCAACAGTACTCCCATATTAAATCCAAAACATAACTCTATACCAGCTACTAGAAACAAAATTAACTCTATCCCAGCTGAAACCAGGACACCTAGACCAACTATATTACATTCATAATGTTTCCTTGATCCATGCTATCTAAAATAATTAAAAAAAACCCCCTTCAATAGAGCCACTCTAAAATCACTCTAACATCAATATCACCATCTGGAGATGCCTCTTGTTCCATTAAAGAAAGAGCCTGAGATGACTAATGTTCCCATGTAGGCATGTAATTTAGGTGCTTTAAAATACTGTGGACAATCTGGACCCTTTTCCTTGAAGAATTTGCAAATACTTCATAAGCAAGGTAGAGTTTTGATCACAGGCAAACAAAGATCTATATCAACTCTGCTGTCATAAGGGTGTTCACAGCAGCTTCTCTGAATGAAGGAATTGCCTCTAGAATCTTCCTAAAGGCAAGAGTTATAGATGTTACTGGTAACTATAGTTACACGGAGCTCCTTACTGAAGTGAAATGCAAATAACGTGTTATTTCAGAAAGCAATTGGTTCCTTTAATGAAAGAAAAAACAAAGACAATCTATGCGTTTTTCTATGTATTATTTTTTCTTCCACAAATTTTAGCTGAGGCTGCTGAGAATTTCCAGTGAGTTGCACTCTGTGCATATAGAATACAAAATCTACATTATGTAATGCCTTGGACCTCCACACCCAATATAATTGCGGTAGTAGTACATAAACAGTTGTTTTTCTGAGTAAGTCCGTTTCTTATAGTAGATCCTTTTAGCAATAATTTTTTAGAAGGAAAATTTACATAGCTATAATTCTTGACTGATATGATGAAATAAATTTGGTTAAAACCCTGCAGAAAAAACAAGGCTTGCATTTTTACAAAAGCTAAGCATTTTACTCAGCCAGGAGACCATAATTACTGTAAATAGAAGAGGTTAAAAAGGATAATAATATAAGGTCGACTTCCAGTACCTGAAAATGAAATACAATTTCTGTAATGTATAACCTTGAAATCTGAGAAGGCTGTATGTCCAGGCTATAAAATATCCATTCACCAGACTGGTACATGGATGAGAAGTGGGAAGGCACTGAAACAGTAAATGTGGGTCAGCTTGCTTATTTCTCTATCAGTCCTGATAATAACACTAATCATGGTTCTTGATTCACAACTGTTATGTTCCTTACCATAAGCAGATGTTAAAATTTCTGCATACAGCTTGAAAACGTTTATCAGTTGTAAGTATTTGTCACAACTGCCGGTGGTTTCAGAACTAAAAGTGGATCTTCTGTAGAGGTGCTTTTGGACCTCTTTGAAAGGTCCTCCCTTACTTGACTTCCTTCCTTTTTCAGAAATATTCCACCATATTTCTCCTTTGGCCTCCACTGTAGTCAACAGCAAAATTTTCCATATGCTGTTGAGGGTGCAGAGTCAGGCTTTAAATCCATTGAAGAAAAAAGGAATATTGCTGCCAATATTATGCATATCACGCCCCAAACTAAGCACTATGTTTTGAGTATTGCTTCACAGTGATCGGTTCTGTGTACTTCGTAATTCCCAGAATACTGCTTAAGCTTTATTATTTATTTATTAACTGGTCACTTGACTAACAGTATATGCATCCTGCTGTCATCTCTTAAGTGATTTCTTCTGCTTTTGCTTTTAATTGCCCAATGTTCAACCTTTCAGGTATTTTTTCTCTGGTATTTACTTTTCAGCTTCAAAATCAGTCCTTTTTCTGAACTGTTGTAATGTATTTGTTTTGTATTTTCTCACTGAAATTTTGCATTTTTCAAGACACTGAACATGTCTTATCCCATTTGTACCTATTGGCATATAAATGGTACGAGCACCTAAATTGCTTAAATAAACTAAATAAGCTTAAACATCTAGCTCATTACCTCTCTCCAACTACTGTGGGATTTTAGCTTTCTCAGCTTACAGAGTTTGTTAAATTATACATGTTTCTATTTGTAGAAAAAATAATTGGAAGACTGACCATGGATCTGCAGGAACGAGAGATTCATTTTTCAGTAATTTATACTGCAGTGAGACCTTCAAGGGTGAGTAATCTTCGGTGCCTAGAACTGCCAGATTTTTGGCATCTAACAACTTTATGTTTACAGAGGAATGCTGTAGATGATTTTCAAGATTACACAAGCAAGCAGTCTGTATTAGATGAGGTTTTGACCAGAAATGATTGTATGATTTTTCATGTACAATAGCTACACCACATAACTATTGAAGTTTTACTGTTCTCGGAGACCATAAATCTGCCACTGTCTTCAGAACTTATTATTGTTTTTAAGGACTGTAATTTTAGATTTTTTTTTTCCATTTAACTCTAATGGTTTTATAGTAAGGTCTACGTGGAACCTTATTGAGCTTCTTAGTGTGCCTGGTCAGTAAAGAGGGAGTGTTGTTAATTAATTGAAGGCTACTAATGTATCCTTTTTTAAATTAACAAGTTTCATTCCTTTTAGTCAATGCTTGGTATTTACAACTGGAAGGTAAAGTTTTCGCCCTTGCTGATAGTCAGAACATCACTTATAGATCACATCACATTATGTTAGCAGTAAGTAGCAACACAGGATAGTTATTCATGCAGTTATCTGTTTTGTATGGCATACAGGTTGTAATCAAGAAATATTCAAATTTTAATTTTAAGGCAATTAAATGGAAGACAGTCATGCCTTGAGGATAACGGAATACAGTTTCCTCTAAGAAGAGAGGCATATGAGGGATGGGCTGTGTCTTAAAAATCAACAACTGTTTGAAAGCAAGCTATGTGTTCCAGTGGTAACACATCTGAGCTTCTAATATGAAGCTTAATTTAATCTGAATTTTAATTAAAACTCAAGATAATGTCAGTTAAGAATACAGAAGGTATAATTTCCTTGGTTTAGGCAACAGGAAAGCCATTAGTGGGATTGTCTAGATCTGGTGTGAGCACTGCAGACAGGATCTTGAGAAGATGGAGGGTTTTTAGGAGGGAACACTAAGAAAAATTCACAACTGTTCTTAACACAAGACCAAAACCTAGAAAACCTGTTTTAAATGAGTATGGAGTGAAGTCCTTTTAGCTTTTCCAAAAGAAGAGTAAGATGCAACTTGATAGCACTTCATAAATGTTCTTTAAGCCAAAAGGGGATGAACCCCCCAAAGGTCTTCTATGTTCGATCAGAAATAATCTGGGTTTTTGCAGGGAGGTAGGATCTTGAACCTCTGGCTATCCAACAAGATGATTAGAATAGTCCCTTCAGACTCTGGGAAAAGAGCTAGTTCTACTGAAGAAAAACAAGAACTTTCTTCAATAATCCACCCTGTGAAATTTCCAGAGACTGGGTTTTGAAGACCAGACTTAGAATACAAAGACAGAGCAGCATGAGGAAGCAAGCTCACCTTGATATCCTGTGCTTTATGTTTTTGTGGTAAAGGAGAGGACATGAGTCCAGGATTTTTGATCTGCCTTTTTTGTAAAATTTTTTTAACAAAGATCCAAAATAAAAATAAAAATTACTTCATTATTGTGGCTCTTTACTTTTCTTTGTTTGAAATCAAAGGGACGTGGGCATTCTTAGCTGAAAATTGCATTTAGAACAATTGGAATGAAAAATATTTTTAATTAATGAAAGAATTGGTGTCAAGAGAAAGAATTTTTTGAGCAATTTTAAAAGTTTGTTGAATTTTAAATCTATGCATACTTCAACAGGCTTTCTAAATGAAAGTGACTTAGTTTGAGCAACTGGAGCACTTTTAAATAATTAAAGCAATGCATTTTAAGATGTTCTGCATTTTAAAAAAATTAAGCAATTTAAACTTTTCTTAATTCTGTAAATTCAATGCCATATAAAACCATTTGAAACATATTTTTTCCCCTCACAATAACTTTAAGTCGTTTCAGTGCATTCAAGGTTATCAGCTTCTGTACAGTGAAAAGGCAAAATGGAAAGTACCTTTGAGGGTTCATTGGTCTGTACATTTGCATGTAACTTCTTAGTATGTATTGCATATCTTTGGCTGTGCTTGAACTGCAGGAGGTGTGAACTGTTTCACAACCCTAAGCTAAAGGACTAACTACCTTTGCTTAAGCTATAAAGACTATATTCCATGATCTAGAAGTTACAGGGTCACTCCCCAGTGATAACTGAGATCACTATATATGAGAAGTAAAAGGCTTTGATCGTATGGGAAAAGAGTTTACATTACTTAGTACATTTGAGAATCAATAGCAATCATTAAGTATGAAAGATTTGCATTTACTAAGTTGGCTTTTTCTCATTGATGAAGGAAATGAGCTTTAAGCATGACACATTAAAAAAAAAAAAGGTAGCTCCTTCTGATCAGGTAAATTAATTTTATGCAGTGAAGCTCCCAAACACTGGGGCTATGAGATACTTCTCGCCTGATAGCTCTACCTCCTTGCTATTGGGCAGTTAATGGCTTCATAGCATCATCTTATTACATTCACTCATTCTTCCGTTGCCTCAAGCAGAGAAAAATAAATGTGAGAAATGCATATATTGGAAAAGATTCCAGACTGGTATTGGCTTTGCAGAAAGTGAATTAATGAGACAGGAAGCAAAACTCCCCTATGATTGAGTCTCTTTTCTGATTTGATGAGAAAGAGCTGTTTAGTTTAGTCAGTGCAGCCACAGATCCCTTTGGGCTATCATAGATATCAGTTAATTACCCCAATGCACGATGGAGATTTATTCAGGCTGGTTCTTGCTCTGTTCCACTTTCAGCATTTGAAGCTGGAAGACAGAATTAAGACCCTGAAACAGAGGCTGTTTGGTGACCTACATGAAATGGTTTCACTAAGCAGTTGATCATTCCTCTGGATATCCCATCATGTCATAAAGGAGCTGCCTTCCTCCAACAAGGCTACTGCCATGTCTTGCAACTCTTGTTCTAAAAGGCTTTGCTGAGGTCTGGCTGAGTTGGGCTGACATTGGGAGTGATTTGTATCACATAATTCTGGGCAAGTGAAGTGTAACTGCCTACATCTGAAGTCATCAACCAGGGTTCTCCTTATAATCAAAGACTTTTTAGGGTATGATCCTTCTGACCTATTTTGTAGGGGACTGCTGCAGGATGAGATGAAACTCACCCTTCATAATCTCCTTTGTCTCTGACAACCATAAAGGCAGTCCTCATGCTTAGGTCAGATCTCGACATATACATTTAGTCAGACAACTCGCACTCAACGTTTCTCATCTTTTCCATTAAAAAACCAGAAACTTATCCCAAGAATTGAGGAGTCTCCTGCCAAGACCTTTCTTCCCTTTGAAACTCATTCGATAGCTTGTTTTTCTTCAGGAGAATCAAACCCCTCTGCAGTCCCTTGTTCCACTCTGGCATCAGGAGATCTTATGAATATATGAATTTTTGTGTTCTTGGGGACTATGATCAAAGTCACCCCTCTACTTGTGCTTGCTGCTAGTTAGTTTTTTGGCTTCTGGTTGTAATGCATAATTTTACCTGTGCTGTTGTAATTGAAGAGGTTAAAAAGTCTGCAGTGATTGAAAGACAGATATGCTTCAAATCATAAACCTCATCACATTTCCCATCCTTCAGATCCTCGTGATGTCCATGTCATATTTTTACAAGTTTCCTTCTGAAACTTCTGCAAGACAGTTTCATAGTTGTTTCTTCCCAGTTAGATTGAATGCTGAGGAACCACATGTTGTCAAAAGGAGATTTATGGCTACTTCCCAGCTGATATTTATTTTGCTGACTCCACTTTTTACAGATGCATTGTGAAGTGCTGTTTAAACTTTCTCTATTGCCTCCACATTTTCAGAGAGTTTCAGCTACCGTGGGCTTTTGACTGCTTCATTCTACAAGCTGTCTCCTCTAGTTGGCATTTAAGCATGTTGAGTCTTTGATCCCACTCAGAGCCAAGCAACATGAGTTACAGGAATTTTATTCAGCCTTAAGTAACATGGGCATCTGCAGCGCAAGTGGTTGCATTTGACTCTTGAAAAGTGTCTCTTGAAGGTATCCTCAGGTGCTATTGATGTGCACTCCAGCTGAAAAGAGTATGAAAGAGTTTTATCTTCTTTGACAAGTGCTTGTGGTTGCATTTTCTTTGTTTCTGCCTTCTACCTAATGCATTTTTTAAAATGCATTACATTTTGCAGCGCTGTGTCTTCCACTTACATCCAGCTCCTCTCTTTTTTGTTGACTGTTCAGTTCATCACTCTGAAGAAACTAAACTCTGCAACAGCCACCCCACTGACTTCACAGCTTCTGATTAATGAAATGCTTTTAACCATTTAATATACTCAAACATTATATAATGGGATCTTTCCCATGAACCCAATGTCATAAAAATGCTTATAATGCCATTTGCTAGAGTTGGAGTTGCAGGGTGGATGTTGTCATGCATCCTTGACCATGGGAATTGCCTTATTCATTTACTCTTGTATTTTTTACATTTGAAGGAGCAATTATAGTTTGACATAGTATAATAAAGCATCAGTGCTTCCAACCTAAAAGAAGAAACCACAAGAATTCCTTATCCTTTAGTTGTCTCCTCTCCCCACTTAAAGAATTCCATTATAATAAAAAATAAACTTTAACTTGTAGATGAAGAATATGCACTTAATTATTTCCTAGCTAACTCAGCTTTTTTCCTACTTAATAGAGGTAGAGTCTTTTTAAATAATTACAGAAGAACTGCTTAAGACTGGTTGAAGCCAGTTAGGTGTCACTCTAGAGTGAAAAAAATGAACAAACATTTAGCCAAATTAGCTTGGAAATTGGACGCAAGGATGAGAGAAATGCTTGCTAGCAATTCTATATGATTCATTCCATGTGTTAGTGGGGAATTCAGGGAAATAACTGAAAACTAGTGTTTTACCTTTAACCCTAGACTTTGCCCTAGGGCATTAAGATTCACTCACTTTAAACATTTTTGCAACTTTAGCTTTCATTTTATATTTACGTTTTTATATATGTATTCTTATTGACTTAACTGGGAAACGAAGAACAGCATAGAACTAAACTATTATTCTTATCTGATCAGAGCAATCTTTTTTATTTTCAGTTGCTAACT